AGTTAGTTCCTGATGAGGCGATAATCAAAAGTAAGGGAAGACCAAAATCAACTCGTATTAGAAATAAAATGGATTAGCTTGAATCACAAAGTAGACAAAAGATATAGTAATTGTCATCAAATTGGTCACAATGTACTTCTTTATCACCTAATGAGTAGTATAGAAGATATTATGTATAAAGTCGTAATATGTAATTTGTTAATTATTAGTATGGTTCTTTGTAGTACATTTATTTGGCAATATGTTCATTATCACCCTACTTTTTGTATGTTTATATGCATAACATAATTAAATGTTAATCGAACGGTGTATAACATAAACTAAAGTAGTAAGTTTCATATAAGATTTAGTAAAACTAGAAAAAATATGTCATATAAATATGTCATATATTACATAAGAAATATGTAAAACTAGTAAATCAAGCTTTATCCTCGTCCGGTTGGTGGTGCTAATGTGGGGTCAATATGCACTCCCTAGGTCGATCTCTCACTCCACGATGTGGGTTACGATGCACCTCTAGAGGTGGAATATCTAATGTTGCTTCAAAGTCAATATTCAAATCTATTCCATGATTATACGAGGTATCATATGAGGTCCTACTTACAAAATCTAGTGCAGGTGGTGGTGGTGTTAGAATGGCTACATCATATGGAGGCGAGGTCATGAATGGTGATGGACATGGGATATAACACTTTGTGCTGATGAATGGTGATAGAGGGGTTTATGGTGGATGTTGGGTGGCATGAGATGAGTGGAAATATGTAGGTGGCCTGACATGCTGTGTGTGGAAAGGAAATTGCGACGGAACCTAGAAGACTCCATCAGAACGGTCAGGTATAGGAAAAGAAACCAGTCTGTTGCTTGTACCTCTGTGCATCTATGTTGTAATCCCCTGTCTTCCTCATGGTCCCTAGGTTGACCGACATCTAGAATTGGATCCTCAGTATTGCCACTATATATCGAATGCTCGAATGAAGAAACAGACTCCATAATGTGGTCCAGATCATTCTTCAAAACTAGCATAAACTGACACAAGTCTCGCATCTTATCAAAGGTAAAAGAATCATAGTCATCACTCATCAAGTAGTAGGCTCTCTCAAGACCATCACCCTATAAAACAAATTTTGTTTTGTAAACAATATCATTACAAATCATAAATACAAAACAAAATATGGTGCATTTAAGCACATTTTATTACACTTACAGTAATAATGAGATAACTGCGTCTCTTGTCATCCAGCGTCTAATGTGAGCTCTATACCACCACATATACTCAGAGTTGGAACTTCGTATGCCAATCTGGGGGTCATTTGTCATGACTCAATCTCTCCTTCTCTTCCAAATGTCTAAGACATCCCTAAGCTTCTCTTCCAATTCTCTGATACCTTCCTTTGCAGTGTCAAGTCATGTAGTACATCTGGCTAGTATGGGACACAAGATATGTGTTGAACCATACCAAATTGCCACATGACTCGATCTGGTTGGTGCCACTCACACACCTGAAAACATATCAGAGGCACTATGGCCTCCACAAATCCATCCTCTCACGACATATAAGTGGTAACGAATTAATCAAATCAACAGAATATGATTGCCAAATTATCTACAAATAATATACAAAAATTAAGGTCATTTTTCATAAATGAGAACAAAATTGACCTATGACGATAATTTCATATCTAATTAGCCAATTAATATTTACCTCTTCATTATTAAACATGTCAAATTTATGTATATAATAAGAAATATTCTTCCTCCCTTTACTATTCCTTTGGTATCACCTGCAAAAAATTTAAGATAATGTTAATACAAAAGGTATGTTAATCAAAGCTGAACAAATAAATGTTAAATATTACCTAGTAGCATATGAAAGATGGGCTCGTGTGATGGGGGTTACCAGGAGCTAGAAATGGAAATCTATCTCATGCCTACATTACAAGTAATGCAGCTAACCCACCTAAACCATGCCGATTAATGTTGATAGTCATGCACAACTCTTTATACAAAACACCCAATAATGCAGACCCCCAACTATATTCACCGCTGACAGCAAAACCCTATAGTAGAGGTAAATACCTCACTGAGACTCTGCTGCTAGAGTGGTCATTCAACATAAAACTCTCAATCAACCACAAAATGTAAGCCCTAACAAATCAGATGATTTGTAAAGGACTCTGTGCATGCATTGCAACATGGATAAAATGTTGATCTAGTCAACATATCTTTAAGAAGCTACCAACAAAAGCATCATGTTTTGGTCGAATCCCTAAGCTCTCCTCAACCATATCAACATAATTACCTCCAATAGGTGTTATTATAGGTCTTCCATCAATTTGTAAGCTTAACAAGATAGATATATCTTGCAAAATGATCGTACACTCGCATGAAGGCAAGTGAAAAGTGTGTCTTTGGCCTTCATCTTACTAATGCAGTGATCAATGGGAAGTCTAGTGGGAACTGACATATGTGAATAATCCCAGTAAATCCTGGAAGCTCTAAATGTGGAAGGATCTCCTGTAGAACATCATCCAAACCAGCTAGAATAAATTGTCTCTTCCTAACCTTCAAAATAGGATGATCCTAACCATCCCAAATATGCTCAGATACATGAATCCTCTGTAACCGCAATAATAAATGATCCTCTAGTCTAAAATGAATGACCTTATTCTGTCCTGAAGTCATCTAAAACAAATATTATATATATATATATATATATATATATATATATATGTTAGTTTCATATTTCGTGTTTAGGACTTACTATTAAATAAGTTATCAACTCAAATACACAAAATATCAATAATTTATAAAATACAACATGGTCAAAATTTTAAATTTTAATATAAATTATACAAAAAAAAATTCATAACATAAATAAACTATAATATAATAATATATTCCTACTTCATTACATTATTCAAATACAAAATCTATTTATAACATTTTAATCATTGTAAATACAAATAATATGAAATACAATTATTCACAATAAATTTTTTAAAATTTACTAAATAAAGTGGTTATTTGTTCATAAATTAACATTTTTCAATTCATTGTATTTTTTTAAAACTATTTTCTAAACTAATTCTTAGTCCTAAATATATGAATGACCTTTATGAATGATTTTTTTCTATTTTATCAATATTTATTATTTTAAGTTTACTAAATATTTTTTCAATTATTAAAAACATCAAAATTTACATTTATATTTTATTATCTAATTATCCACATTTTTTCCTTATTCATACATGAATTGATCTATTTAACAACAATCTTTTTAATTTTCTTTACATAAGCAATATGTATGTTTTCAATTAAATATAATAATTTTTGGATTTTTTAATTTATTCCTATATTTTAAAATATTTTTTTTTTTACTAAATACAACAAAATATATTATTATTACAATTAATAAATATAAACATTAAAATATGTGCAGTACATCCAATTTAACAATTTTCATCATACAATAACAACACTAATTAACAATATTTTTGTTTTTTTATTTTTTATTAGCCACCACTTATTTAGTTATTTAATCATAAAAAAATACTTATAATTATTTTTATTATTTCATCATAAATTAAATTATATAATTATAAATAATTAACTGAAACTAATTACTATCACTCTAAAAATTTATATTGGATAACTAACTTTTTATTTTATTAAAAAATTATATTACATATTTAAAATAATTTAATCTCAACTAATTAGTATCACTCTAAAAATTTTAATTCAATAACTAAATTTGTTATTTCATCATAAATTAAATTATATAATTAAAAATATTTATTCTAAACTAATTACTATCACTCCAATAATTTAAATTACATAAGTAAATTTTTTATTTCATCATAATTAACCAATAGTATTAAATTCTTTTCCAATTATTTATAAACTCAAATATTTACTATCATAATTTTAATATAAATTAGTATATAGTCAATTTTAATACATTCAATTTTTTACTTTTACATTTTTTCTGTAATTATCTAAATGTGTTCTTTAATTATAAATAAATATAAAAATTTACATATATTTTATGTTAATTAATATTAAAAACAAAATTTTTATTATCATATTTATACACTATTTTCTAAATATCATTTGTTATATAATTAATCAACTAATCTTATACAACTATTTTCTATTTTTCTATTCTGAATATTATTTAATAATTTATTTTTATATTTAATTATTTTAATTAATTTTTAATTGTTTTTAAATTTACACCTCAAATTATTATAATAATTCTACATGCACACTTTAATTTTACAAATTAAGATTTTTTTTTTATATTTTTATAAAATTATTGAACTAAATTAAAAACAGGTTGTCGTTCTCTCAACATCGTCAACCTTCTATTCCAAGAACAACCATCACTGGCGGCAACAAAAACAGAGTTGGAGACGGTTCTGCAATAGGTGAACAACATGACTTTGCTCACTCTAAAATTACGCTAAATGATCAAGAAGCAGCTGTTAGTGTATATGAACGGCAAAAATGGTAGAAGAAATTTTCGAACCAAGAAAGGGAGAAGAGAGAAGAGGGTTGCACAGTAACCATTGCCTATGCCAATCAAGGTTTTTTTGTTCCTGAGTAAGACAAAAAGACTCTGATTGAGCCACATGTCAAAAAAGTGGTAAAGTTAAATTTTTATTTTTATTTTTATTTTTCGTCTTTATTATATCAAAATACTAGACACATGTCACATTTGGGCTAATTTCATCCTTATTTTACATAATCTAACTTGACAAAAATTTGTCCCCGCCACAGAATATGTATTTTTTTTGTTTTATTCTGATAATTATTTATTAAAAAAGTATTAAAAAATTCATTAATTCATTTTTACGCTCTAAACATTTGGTTTTACGAAACTACCCCCGAGTAGATGGCATGGCACTTTCGCAACGCGTTGGAGTGATGTAAACGACGAAGGAGTACAAAAACGTCCCTGCGTTTTTCGTCGGTGGTGGATTTGGAACCGTAACCACTAAGCAAAAAGCCTTTAAATAAAAATTAATTCCCATCTCTTTCCGTACACCTTCCTTTGCAGAACAAAACCCCTTTCAAAGTTCCATTTCTCAACCCAAATTCTCAACTCTCCCTCTCTCTAAAACTAATCCCTCATTTCTCTCTCTAAACGGTTTCCGCAAACAAACCAGCCAACCATGGCCTCCACCGCCCCACCCGTCCTTCCCATTTCCAATGCACAACCCACCGCAACAACCGCCCCATCCGGCGGTGCCGTCGAAGCCCCCGCCAATAACCCTGCCTTCCGCGCCTTCATCAACCACCTCTCCGTCTCCCTTCGCCACGGCCTCGACCAACGCCGCCCCTGGACGGAGCTTGTGGACCGCACCGCCTTCGCAAAGCCCGAATCCTTCTCCGAAGCCACTCTCCGTGTCCGCAAAAACTTCTCCTATTTCCGCATCAACTACTACGCCGTCGTTTCGGTGATTCTCGCCGTTTCGCTCCTCACGAATCCTTTCTCTCTCATCCTTCTCATCGGTCTTCTCGCTTCGTGGACGTTCCTTTATCTCTTCCGACCCACCGATCAGCCTCTCGTCCTTCTTGGCCGCACCTTCTCCGATTTCGAAACCCTCGCACTTCTCGCCGGACTCACCGTTTTTGTCGTTTTTCTGACCAGTGTTGGCTCCGTTCTTGTTTCTGCTCTCATGCTTGGTGTCGCTGTCGTTTGCCTCCACGGCGCATTCCGCGTCCCCGAAGATCTCTTCCTGGACGAGCAGGAAAACTCTCAGTCAACCGGATTCCTGTCCTTCCTCCGTGGCCCTGCCGCAGCTGCTGCCACCGCTGTTCCCTCCGTCGCTGCACGCGTTTGATCTCGGATCCATCAGATCTGGCATCGGTGACGGTGTCTTTCTCCTGATCCGGTGAATTTTGGTGCTCGGAAGCGAATTCAATATGGAAATGTAACTTCTCTATCTTTTTTTGTTTAAATTCCTTTATCTGTATTAACAAATTTGATTATACGTAGGTGAATATGAATTATGATGATATTTGTATGGATATTTGTTTTTTATTTTGTTTTACACAGCATTTGCAGATCTTGTTGATGGATCTGTCTGTTAAATTTCCCTATTTTCTCCAATCGATTTATTCATTCAATTTTCTAAATCGATTTATTCATTATGTGATTTGTTTGATTTCATTCTGGAAAATTGTCATTAACGCTAAACTGTAGGAGGTGACCTGTGGGTTGTGTTGTTCGGCTGCTCATGCGTGGAGTGTTTGGGTATTTTTAGTTGTGGGTTAGGGCACTTAAATGGGCTGCCAATGCCATATCCAACCTAGTTATAGAAAAGGGTTGCCTTCGGCCTTACAAGGCTTATCTGAGGTTCGGGCCTTCTTTGGTTTAATCCAAATGTTTACAACCAAAAAAATTCAAAATTTACCTGAGGTTAAGATATATAAAAAGCATAATGTGAAATTATAAAAAGAAAAGTGTAACTTACCTATGATGAAATTAATTTTTTTTGTTCCATACATGAATAAGAATACAATATGTTTTGTCCAAACTTAACGATATTTGTTTTAAATTTAATTTTTGTATTGCATTGCGTTACAATTTTATGAAGTTGTGTTTTTACACAAATGACATCCAAAAAAAAAATAAAAATATCACAAAGAATGAAAAAAAGATCCCGGTATGTTAATATTGAAAGCAAACCAAAAGATTGTTTTGGGCACTTGAATTCATGAGTTATACAAAAAATATATATAATAATAAAATTGAGCATATTAGATACCCAATAATTAAAAAATGTTGCCATGTGACACAATGACGAGTGTTGAACATTATATTATAACTAGACGAAACAGATGCAGTGTTGACCATTTGAAAGAGGCAAAATAGTTGTCATGAAAAATCAACATGAACCCCAATATGACCTTTTCTACATGTCAATCGCTCCTATGTTATGCACAATCAATGTGTAAAAATGATCTATGGTCTAGACAATCAGCAAAAATAAATAAATATTGATGAAAAGAAAAACAAAGACACTGTTGAACACAATGACGTTTAGAAAGATGGATTTTTCATTCTTATTTTCAACAAATCTTGTTTAATATTTTGGTGCATGAAGTAATAGTTGGAAACTTGAAATTACAAGCAATCTGATGTATGTTATGTGGTTAAAAAAGAGTTTAAAGATTAAAGAAAAATGGATGAGAATTAATATTTTTTTTAATTAAGAAACTTAAAATCATAAGTTTAATATAAAACATCTCCCTCTTGACTCAAAACTTATTGATTTAATAGGATTTATTAGATATCATATTTTTTATAAAAATTAATTAAATTGATTATATTTTTCATAAATACAAATTTTATTTTAAAAATACCTATTATATTAAATAGTGTTATTAATGATTTGTATATTTAATGACACTAATAATTATTGTCTTATAACCATATATTTAATAATAAAAAATGATATAAAAAATTAATAATTTAAACAAAATAAAATTAATAATTAATATATCTCAAATTTATTTTATGTATCTTATAATTATAATTAAAAATATATTTTATTTTATTTTTAAGAGAAAGGATTGGAGGGATTTTTTTTTCCTTCATCCCAAAGAAAACCTAATTTTAAAAAGAAAGTTAAGAAATAATAAAAAAATAAAAAAGTGGAAAGTAAAGGAAATTATTTTATAAGAGCATGTGTAGTATGATGGTGTTGATGTGATTCATCTTTCAATGTGGAATTCTACATATTATAAGTATGGACTTTTTACTATATCTCTATACTAATACGATATTGTCTACTTTGAGTTTAAGTCTCAATAGTTTTATTTTTGTACATCAACCCAAAGACCTAATACTAATAGAAATATACTATACTTATATGTCCTTAATTCTCTTCAATTCTAATCAATGTGAAACTTTGTTTGTACATTCTAGCATTTACATCACACAACATTGTAACATGCGATAAGTTTTGTAATTTATTTTTGGCTTAATTATGATTCTCTTGCAATAAGTTTTTATAATTTTTTTTTTAAATTTAGTTATTGAAAAGTTAAGAAGTTAATAAAAACTTTTTGACGAGTTAAGTAACTTCCTAATGTTAAATACTAAAATAGCTAATGGAGAGTCAGCATTTTCATGTGATATGTTATTTAATTTTAATATATTTTATTATTTAAAGTAAATATTTGTAAACAAATTCTTTGACATATTTTAAAAATTTTAAAAAAGTCTCAATCTTCTTCTCCTTCACTTCTCGTAGCCTCAACTCCTTCCTTGTCTACTTTTTCCCCTTCTCTCGTCCTCAAATTCTGAACGACAGTTACTTTCAATGGACATAAAGACTTTGACAAAATAAAAGAGAGGTCAAACACAATTTTACAACAAGAAGATACAACATAACCACAAATTTAAAACTTCTCCACTATCTTTTTTTTTTTCATTAAGTTCAATTAACTTTTTTAAAAATCTATTATTAATTTAAAAAGCTATGCAAAAACGAAGAATGGATTAATTAATATAACCCCCAGCTATTGCAAGTTGATTTGTGATCGAAGTTTTCGGTCTTTTCAAATTCTCACTCACTCAATCACGATGATGTATATTGTTTTAAAGGAGGAGCGGATTCTGGTGACCTAAAATCATGAGTGTGAAATATTTATAGGGCTCTACCCATCATAAAGCCCAATTCAAAAATTAATAGAGGCAACCTCCGTATAAAATAAAAACAGAATATTGTTAATAGAGATATGAGTCACTATGTTCCTATTTTTATGTTCCTTAAAGATAGGAACTAAAACTAAATGGGTTGCTAACATTCTTCCACTTAATCCATTAATCACATTATCAACTATAACAAGAAACTAAGTATATGAATCATGGTGACAGTTCCTCCAATGGTGAGTATTATCTCCCATGTATCACAATATACTAAGCCTCTCAACACTAGCTCTCAACTTAATGAATAAACTACATATTTATTCAAGGTCAAATTAAAATGATATTTCTCAAACAAACAAAAGTGTGCACAAAATGAAAGAGAAAACATCAAGTCTGAATCAAAGTATTAAAAAAATAATAAAAGTACTCATATGATTGTCACATCATGGAACCAAGTCCCATTCGTGCTACATGATTCTTAAAATTCTTTGGTAACATGCCTTTAGTCAAAGGATCGACAATCATCAACTCAGTACCAACGTGTTCAATGACCACTTTCTTTTCCTTAACACATTCTTATATGGCTAAATATTTGATGTCGATATGTTTACTTCAACTTCTACTCTTGTTATTATTAACCATAAATACTGCAGCAAAATTGTCACAGTACACCTTCAATGGCCTAGATACAGAGTCCACCACTCTAAGCCCAGATATAAAACTCTTCAACCATACACCATGTGAGGTAGCCTCAAAGCAAGAAACGAATTCAGCCTCCATAGTGGAAGTAGCAGTCAAGGTCTACTTCACACTGCTCCAAGACACAACTCCACAGGCTAGCATAAAAATGTAACTAGATGTAGATTTCCTTGTATCAATACAGCCAGTAAAGTCTGAGTCAGAGTAGCCTATCACTTCCAAAGCATCAATCTGTTTGTACATAAGCATGTAATCCTTTGTTCCTTGAAGATTTCTCATTACTTTCTTTTTGCAGCTTTCCAATGGTCAACACCTGGATTGCTCTGATATTTTTCTAAAATTTCAACCGCAAATGCAATGTCAGGTCTAGTGTAAACCTAAGCATACATAAGACTTTCAACAACTGAAGCATATAGAATATTTTTCATGTGTTCCTACTCAAGGTCATTTTTCAGACATTGACTCAATTCAAGTCTATCACCCTTCACAATGGAAGCTACACTTAGTGAACAATCTTTCATGTTAAATCTCTCTAAAACCTTGTTAATATAGGTCTCTTGAGACAAACCCAAAGCCTCGAGATCTTTCTCTATGGATCTTAATGCCTATGACATAAGATGTCTCACCCATATATTTTATATCAAAGTTCTTTGAGAGAAATTGTTTCACTTCATATAGCATACACTTATTATTAGCTGCAAGCAAAATATCATCCACGTATAAAATAAGAAAACAAATCTTACTCCTACTAGCTTTCAGATATATACATTGATCCATGATGTTTTCTTCGAAACCAAATGAAGATATGACTTCATGAAATTTTAGATATCATTGACGGGAGACTTGTTTTAATCCGTATATAGATTTATTAAGCTTGTAGACTAAATGTTCACCGTTACTAGAGAAGAATCCTTCAGTTTGTTTCATGTAAATCTCTTCTTCTAGATCACCATTGAGAAACGTCGTCTTCATATCTATTTGATGTAACTCAAGGTCATAAACCAATGTCATAATCACTCAAAGAGAATCCTTTTTAGACACAGAAGAAAATGTCTCCTTGTAATTGATTCCTTCCCTTTGAGTGAACCCTTTGACGACAAATGTTGCCTTATGTCTCTCAATGTTGTCTTGTGCGTCTTTCTTGGTTTTAAAGACCTACCTATATCCAATGACTTTTACATCATCATGCAACTCAATGAAATTTCAAATTTTGTTAGATGCTATAAAATCCATCTCATCTTTCATGGCATTGTACCATAAATTTGATTCCTTAGAACTCAGGGCTTACAAAAACGTTTTAGGATCATTTTTGGCTCCTACGTTATAGTCTAATTCTTGTAAATACACCACTAGTCACCAGAAATTGCCGACTTTCTGACTTTAGTAGATCTTTCTTAATGTTTCCTCATTATCTTGATGAGGAACTTATTGTTCAACCACTTCCTCAACAGGTTGATCAATACTTACTTGTGGCTCCTCGTCAATAACTTGATCTACCAAATCATATTCAACAGCTTGTGGAACTTGGATAACTTGTTGTCTAATACGCTTTTGAACTGGAGGAGCATGAATGACTACCAATCTATCATTTGACTCAGAGGGCTTAACTTTATAATGATATGTTTCAAGAGTAGCGTCTTGAATCAGGTCACTCCCACTAATCAAATTATTTTCAAGAAACTTTACATTTCTTGATTCCACAATTTTAGTACTACGGATGGAAAATAGAACCAGGCATAGTGT